CAGTGTAGACTAAAGTAAAACTTGTTAGAGTGTATATTACAGTGTAGACTAAAGTAAAACTTGTTAGAGTGTATATTACAGTGTAGACTAAAGTAAAACTTGTTAGAGTGTATATTACAGTGTAGACTAAAGTAAAACTTGTTAGAGTGTATATTACAGCATAGACTAAAGTAAAACTTGTTAGAGTGTATATTACAGTGTAGACTAAAGTAAAACTTGTTAGAGTGTATATTACAGTGTAGACTAAAGTAAAACTTGTTAGAGTGTATATTACAGTGTAGACTAAAGTAAAACTTGTTAGAGTGTATATTACAGTGTAGACTAAAGCTGAGTGAAAAGACACGAGCACAACATCCGTATTTTCAAAATAAGACACTATTCGGCTGAATAATTTGTCAGAATAATGTCGACCTGCGCAGTGGAAACACATGCAGTATAAATCCAGGGTTAAAGTGTACTAAGTATATTTGAAGTTGTTCCGTTTTAGTATTTAAAAGTATACTTAATACACTTAAAATTGTGCTTTTGTGCAACTTAAATACAACTAACGTATATTTAGTATTAAATTAGTTGTTCAAAAAATTACTGATGATTAATGTGGCTTCAAGTATACTAAAGTATACTTAGATTTAGTATACTTAGTATAAAATTTTTTCACCTGGGTTCTTTTATACTTGTGTTAACTCAGAGGTAACTTGACTCAGAATTGAGTTAACCAGTTGATATCACCTGTTCTGAAACTGAAAATCCAGAGTATCACAGAGCGGGGTAGGTTGATTCAGACTAACTGCCAGGGCTCGTTAATCCTGCTTTCTGAAGGCCCTGGAGACCTTACACCCGTTATATCAATAAGTAGAAACAATAGGTTATAATAAGTAATAAAAATAACTTGGATATTATTTTAATTTGTTGTAGCTCATTTTATTAATCAGTTTTGATAATAAGGTGATTATATGCAGAATGTTGGTGCCAGAATGTCATACAGTGGTGTGTGCAAATAAATATCATGTTCTCAATAGTATTTAAATTTAGGGGGAGGGTGTGAACACACCCCCGTTAAGGAACTTAAGGGGGATATGAATGGTAGTTATGTGTCGAAACCCACCTGAAAAAATTAGATTTGTAACTTGTAAAAATATGATTTGTGTACCCGTTAAAAAAATTCACCCAGGGTTAACCCACATAAAAATGTTTGATTTCTTTGTACCTGTCAAAGTCATTGTCATCCAGCTCGTCTCCAGAAGAGTTATAATCCGTGTCATAGTCCTGTTCACCGGTGCGGCGAGGACGTCCTGGACGTCTCTTTTTGGGACGTCCTGCTGAACTTGCGATCTCAGAGTTGCTGAAGTAGGGAGCTGCATGTTGTAAAGGCTGGTCATCGACTACAGGTCTGTTGGACAAACAAAACATTTAAACTATGCTCTGTATTAAACCACATTTTTATCTGTACACTGGAAACAATGGCAGAAAATCAATGTATGTTTATTAGACTTAAATCCTACAAAAGGTTTTGCTGTGTAAAAGGAAGTGAAAAACAGAAGTCAGGACTTCCTCCTCCCTAGTTTTAGCTGCACCATACCTCATTTTCTCATCAAATACTGCAGATAAATAAGACTTGTTGTTGGTTAACTTTGGCCTGTTGAGCTTCAGGTGTTTTTGTACTTGTCCAATGAAGTTCATTGTGTCTTTATGATAAATCTTAAAGTTTTTCTTAGTTAGTCGACACTTTGTTATTTTGTGTTGCAGCTGCGACACCTCTGATGAAGACACGTCGAAACATGCCAGGTATGTCTGTAGAGACATAAAATAACAAAGTGTCTAACTAAGAAAAATTTAAGATGTTTTTGGACTTGTTTTGCTGTTCTTTTCAAATGTACAATGGAGAATAATTTTTTTTTTGACCTGGTCTTGATTTTGTAAGTTTGCGCACTTACAGGTCAACTGTTGTGTTAATATGATTCTAAATGTAAAAAAAAAGTTAAATAGAAGTGGATATAATTTTACCTAAAAATTTAGAACTATCGTATTACATAAAAGTTGTCTTTGCATGTCACATGAATTAATAACTGTTGTGTTAATCTTTGTTGGCCAAAACAGCTGTCAGATGTTCCTTTGTGGTCAGACAGTGTACTTTGGGCTGTGTGCTTTATTTTATTAATTTATTTTTTATCTTACTTCTGTCCTTCATCTCAAACTTTATTTTTAATCATTTATGGTCTCTGGCAAACTTCAGACCAGAGCATACCTGGACTTTCTCAAAACAGGTCTGTACCTGGACCTTCAGTTCACTGCAGCAAAGCAATCATACCAACAGATTTGTTGGTAACCGTTGGCCTAAATGGTAAATGGTACTGAACTTATAGAGCGCTTTTCAAGTCCCTCCGGACCCCAAAGCGCTTTACACTAACAGACATTCACCCATTCACACTCACATTCACACACTGATGATGGCAAACTACATTGTAGCCACAGCTGCCCTGGGGCACACTGACAGAGGTGGGGCTGCCATGCATCGGCACCACCGGACCCTCTGACCACCATCAGTAGGCAAGGTGGGTGAAGTGTCTTGCCCAAGGACACAACGACTGAGATGGATGGACGGGGGATCGAACCAGCGACCTTCTGGTTCCAGGACGACTCACCTAACCACTCCGCCACAGCCTAGTCCTTGTCTATGGGCTGTCGTTTGTAAAGTTACACTGTCAAAAATTACCACCAATATTTTTGTTTTATTTAGACTTTTATAAGAAAAAAAGAACAGATTTATTTTTCAAAGTCAGTTTTTCACCATATGATTCATACATTTATAAATGTCATAGTTTATAAACTAAATATTTAACTTACAAATTAAATATTTAGTTAACAAACTAAATATTTAACTTGTGACTTAAATATTTAGTTTTGAACTAAATATTTAGGTTACAAGTTAAATATTTAGCTAGCCACCTAAATATCTAACTTAAATATTTAGCTATCTAGCTAAATATTTAATTTATTATTTATTTAGCGGACTGATCTGTACGGATGATGGTTTTTAGAGCCGACGACAGCTAGCAGGCTAGCAAGCTAACAAGCTAGTAGCTTCTCTTCATGTTAACCAGCTCCAGGTACAACAGCACTCTGAGCTGAGCTTCTGTTCCATATTTATCTGAAATGATCCATTCCCAGTTAAATTAAAAAGATGAACAGCTTTGATGATCAGCTGGTCTGATTTTATGACCTGAATGCACAACTGGTGTTTACTCCATCAACGTGGGAAAAAAAATAAAAAGCTTCTCCTCCTCTGACCTTTCACTCAACAACACTGATTCAACATTGAGTAAAAACAACTATATTTCCATCTATCACTGTTGTTTGTATCTTCACTATGACACGGAGGGCTGCAGGTGGGCAGACGGACAGATTATAATATTTTAGAACCAGCAGCATAATGGTCTGAAACCAGAGAGACACTCTGGTCCAGTTAACAGAGAGTCTCCAGATCCGACTGCGCAGCAGCTGAAGACCAGTTTCACAGCTAAATCAACAGGAGGGAAAGAACGATATTAGGCTACCAACTGCCTGATTCTCCTCCAGCTCAATAGTATCTTATGGACCCATGTCTGTTTCTGCCGTTCAACATGGAAAAAGGGGCGGTCTTCTGAGGCGCGTGACGTCACGTGCAAAGGGTCACTATCTGAGGTTCCACACTCTGTATGAAGCAAAGTGAAAAACAAGAGGCTGGTTTTTACCAGGATAGGTAACCATAGCCCCCGATGCTTTTAGATTTTTACAAGATCCCTCATCTTTTTCATCATCATCTTCACCCTACGAAGAAAATCTAACATGGAGCTCTAGACTGATGGCCATTTTCTGAATAACGCCACCCACAGTTACTGTATGTCCTTACCAAACTTGTTGTTGTCCATTCATTGTGATGATTTGCTAATTGTTACCTGGTTAAAGTCATTTGACAGGTCTTTGGTCTTACTGACGTCGTACACATAGACCTGGGATCAGTATCAGTTTATTTGCTTTGGTTGGGTTGGTTGAGTTGTTGTACTCTGGCTGCCACACAAACTATCTGTGGACTGGATAAATACCTGTTTCGCTCAATGGTATACAATATTTCACAATGTGGTTTTTTTTCCACTTTTAATTGATTTTCTGTCTCTTTCCATTAAAAAGAGACTTTGTAAACGAAACACATGGATGTACAAGATTTACTTTGTAAATACAGTCTTATTGTTAGTATCATTGGCAGTTTTATCTGGTCTTAAATGTTTTTAATGCTTTTTAAGCACATTTAGTTTATGATTGCTATATAAAATATGGCAAACAAAAAAAAACTTGAATATCATCAAAGTTTAATGCTGTTCATTAATTTATAAATGGGCAAACTTACAATTAGCTTACTTATTTCCCTTGCTGTAATTTAAGGTTTATTGAATAATTTGAGTGATAAAACAAACTTAGTTTTAGAAATTCATGATAAATTAGAAATCTTTAAAATCTTCCAAATCTTGTGAAGTAGAAAAATCAGAGTTGGTCCGTATGCTCACTGGGGGGTGTAGCTGATGGGAGGTTTGTCGTAGCTGGTGCTCTCATCATCCAGGAAACTCCTGGATCCTCTCAGCTTCTCAGGGTAGTCTGAAACCACAGCCACTTCAGGGGCAGCAGACACATTCTTCACCTTCACAAAAGATTCAAAACACAGCTCAGCAACGTTTTAGCTTTAACTCATTAGTAAAGCTTTAAGATACATTTATTTTAACTGTGACTTTTAGCACACTTTATAAAAATTTAAGAATACTCGTCTTTGTCATAAGCCAGTTGAGACTGAAAGACCAGCTTCTGAGGTAAGTTATGCTATATGATTAAGTTAGGATGAATAAATATTTATCCTAAGACATAATTTAGTATGTCTTATTTGTTACTAAATACTTTCTTATAAAAATGTAAATTTATTTTTAAAACATTTAATAAAATTAATATTTAACTAAATAATCACTTATATTGTACAATTTAATGATTTAACTTAATTAAAAATATTGTTGTATTTTAACACCCCAAGTTTGAAAACCCTAATTATTATAAGTTACTAAATATGCACCCTCCCCCACCATCCTTTACCCTTCGTAAATAAATGATTCATCTTCGTGCAACAAAAATGTTATTTAAATTATAGAAGTATTTAACATTTAAATTGTATAAACTCTAACAATAAATAAAACTATATTCTTTTGTTGGTGGTTCAGTCGGTGTGATGCCACTCCTTTAAACACCTTTACCTTTTAAAATCTCTGTCCATGTATTCTGTACGTGTTTTTGTGATCTTAATGCTCAAGCTCTTGACTATTTATGGCCTTTCTGCTCTTTCATCCTGTACTGCATGTCAAAACTCCACATAAAAATGATTTTTTTCTGAAACAGATTAATTAAAATTACAATAAAAAGATTTTGTCTTTGAAAAGCCTTTCCCAAACCTGCTCATGTTTATGAGTTTTAGTACATTATGGAATCTACAAGTACGACAAACCTGCATGAACATGTTTTCTCTCCGAACAGCAGTACAACAGACTAAAGGCAACAGGTCTCTGCAAGTCCCACAACTTCAGCCTTTTCAAACTGGTTCCCACAAACGATAAGACAGACGCACTTTTTGTCTCAGTATCATGTTACTGCTGTGCTTTCCCTCTGCTAGCAGTGAGCCATGTGTCAGTCCAACCTGTTTTTCCTGTTGTTTTTCCAGAAAAGTCTCATGATTGACCAACATACTTAATGTTACTTGTTGAAAACATTAAAAAACACTTTTTTGTAATCATTAGAAAGTATGAGTAACATCAAACACAAACAGTGAAGTCTTAATGTTTGAACAAAGTGAAAAAAGATGCTCAAACCACTGGAAGTCTTCAAACTACTGAAGTCAGCAGGTGGACTGAAACTCAGCTGTGAGGGTGCCACACCTTGAAACTGACTGCACAGAAGAATCATTTCTTTGCTCGTAAACAAGAGACGGTCACTGAACTGGTTTTACTACTTCCACGTACGTCCTCCTCTGACTGCTGGGCTTCAGGCTGCAGCTGAACACAACCACTGCATCCTTCAGCACATTTCTACAGTTAGTGTCCAAAACCATCTCCATTCATCAACTCCTAACTCAAATCAGATTCATTTCTATCCATTTTTGATTTCAAAACATCTGTTCAATTTACTGTCATTTAAGAAGTTTGCACAATGTTGTTATTTTTTTAGTTTATTTTTTTGTTTAGTTTTTCACGGAGCCCACGAGGAGACGTGGGATTTTTTTCCCTTTTGCGTTCCCACGCAATACTTTTGCGTTACCTCGCAATATTGTTTTGCATTCCCATGTAAAGGTTTGTTTTGAATATGAACTGAATTAAATTGGACTTTTATTTTGAAATATCTGGTTACCAAAACAGGATGTGTCGCCACAAGTTCGTGAAATCGTCATTGATGTTGTTGTGTGGCTGCACTGTGTTAAAATATCAGCATATGACATACGTCCATGTGTGTCTGTGTGATATATTCATTCTGGAGCTGAATTAAAGCAGTAGCTAACTCACTAATGGTGAACATGTGAGTTTGTTAATAAACCAGCAGCACAACAGTGATAAACAACTTCAGCGAGGGAACATAAAAGGTTTTGCAAGGTAACGCAATGATATTGCGTGGGAACGCAAAAGAAAAATAATCTCCCGTGTCCCCTCGCGGGCTCCGTAGTTTTTTAGCTTGTATGAATGAGAAAAATTATTTGATGTCAGAAAAATACTCTGATTGGAATCTTGCAAATTTTCAACACTTTAACTTATCTTTTTACGCGTGGCCTTTAATAATTAATGCTAAACAAATATAGTTGTTGCATTGATGACGTTAGAAACAGCCTTCTCTCTCTCAGCAAAGAATTTTGTGCTTTTCCACTTTCACTTGACAGAAGTTGACAATCCCTGTGATGAACTGTCTGAAAGTGGACATCATTTGTTTTACATAGGATCATGTTTTCATGATGGCTCCTCTTGGGTTTTCTGCTGCCTACTGGTAATATATTTACTGAGCAGTTGGGCTCTTGATGCTCCCTAGTCCTCTGTCTGCATCCCTCCTTACTCTCAGTGCAGGTTTGGGGTACTGGACTTTCAGTAAATAAATGAATAGTTGTATATCTCTAAGGATTTGTTGTTTATTTAAAGTATTTTAGAATTGAATTAAATTTGATTTGTCTCTCCGTCTCTAATAAACATATTTTAAATGAATAGTTGATGGTTCTTCAGTCACTCATTTGAGCTATTTGACCTTATGAGAGGATTAAAAATACCCCAAAAATCCAGACAGTAAACTCTTTTTGTTGTAGTCACTAAATGGGTGATTATTTTGTGTTGTTCAAGTAATTAATTTGTAGATTTGTAACACAAACATCTTATAGTGACTCACCCATGCCTCCACATCCTGAGGTGGTGCAACATCATCCACAAGCTTGACTTTTTTCCAGAAAATGTTGCTCTTTCCAAAACTTTGAATTTTCTGACGAGTCTTGAGTGCGAATACAAGCATGATAATCAGAGCAGCGGTCACCAGGAAACCGAACACTATAGCGATGGCCTAAAATGAAGAAATAACATTTAATAAATCAGGAGTTACAAACAAAATATCTTTATATACAAACACAGCTGGTTTTGTGTGCTCACCTCCTGTGGCTCCACCACACAGTAGTGGTAAAGATACTGATTCGTAAACATTCCTGTCATCTGTGGTTGTTGGTACTGAGCACACAAAGCGGCAATCTGGTTGCCGTAAACTGACCCATATGACTGAGCCATGGGGTTTACTGCCATCAAGTACACTATGGTGGCAATAAGCATCAACAGCGCAAGGAAGGCACAGATTATCACCACAGCCAAGTAGAATTTCCTGCTCTCTGACAAGCTCTGGTGAGACACGATGATAATGAAGACCGCCAGGACGAAGATGGCGACCATCACTGCCATTGCTATCATAAACCCTTTGCCTGACCGGGGATCATAGTAGTTTCCCCCGAGTGAGCCGTAGCCATAGTTATTTCCAGCTCCATATGCACCGCCACCAAAAGTGCCACTGTAGCCAGTACCACCGTAGGTACCATAGTTTCCCGTGTAGCTTCCCCCAAAGCCAGCCATGGCTCCTTGACTGTCCCATGCCAGTGTAGAGGCAACACAGACAAATATAGCCACGCACAATACAATAACAAGGATGGCCATGATTTTAAGGACACCCGGGGGGGAAGTCCAGCGATAGAAGTGCTGGAACTCATCATCAGGGTAGTAAGAATAGGCTGGCTGAGAAGGAGCAATGTTACTGTGAAAACAAAAAGAAAGAAAAACTGTTATAACAGAATTATTTCCATTGTCTAACAGGATAGCAGCAACACAATTTAATACACCAACGTCAAACTTTTTAACACACTTTTATTACAGTTCAGAAAATCTACAGTGCTGTGGATAAGGGTTTGCTCTCTTACATATTTATTCTATTTTCTGTTTTTTTCACATTTAAAAGCTTTAGATCAAACAATTTTTTGTGTACAAGTCTACGTAAAGCTGTATGCAGAGCTGGCCCGTGGCATGGGCAGTGTAGGCAAATACTAAGGGCACTGTCTGTCTAAGGGGCGCCACACATGCAGGATGAAAAATAACATTTTATGACTTTTTATCGAAGTATAGTTTATTAAGTCTATAGAATAATCACTGGTTCAAATTTATGAAGGTAACTTTCTCAGCCTGCTTTGTTACTACATTATGTGTTATTTAGGATTTCTAGAGGTAGGGTGTATGTAGAGTGACAGGAAGTCCATGTTACTTCCTGTATTCCTCACTTCCTCTAAGCAGGCTGAGAAAGACCTGTTTGCACAGCAGGCTGAGAGAGGCCTGATTGGGGAAAAACATTTTGGACTTTTAAAAATCCAACTTACACACGCCATGGTGAGTTCATTGTAATTTGTAAACTTTAGAAAAGCTTCTCATTGATCAACTAGTTTAACCCATATTACAAAAGCAATCTCCAAACTTTTCTTTTTGTTTGCTGCCAGCTGTAAAGCTATATCTAAACTACCCATCAGATGCTCATCATAAAACCATCTTTGGACCAATTTACACTTTGAAAACCAAGGTTTATGCTGTTTGAGTGTATTTCATTGTGAAGATGGAAACCAATTGTTTCAATATCATTGTTCTGAATTTTCTTTGAAACAAACAAGATTAAGCTATAGCTAAAAGTAAACCAAACAATTTGTCCTGATAAATATTGAAGTGTTGTACAACCAAATGTTTGATATTTTTGACCTCTTTATATGCCTGTGGAATCTGATGGTGAGCTACCTTGACACAAGAACCTTTTTGTGAAGAACTACCCATGCTTCTGAGTCGGTAGGAACTGTGGACTCTGAATGAACTGTTATGGACTCTAGCTTTTTCAATATATTGGGTGTTTTTTTCCACCTTTTTATTTGAGTTACAACTGAAAGGACTTTATGACCAAAGTTTATTTTTTTCTGGATCTGCTTGTGTAACCAATTGTCTTTTGTTGTTTTGTGTCTTATTTTATTTATTTATTTATTTTGTTATTGAATTCAATACAGTATAATTTTTTCACTCAATGGCATCCAGTGTTGTGTTGGGCTCCTTCAGAACCTAGTCTTTGAAATTAAATTTTCTAATTTAAAAATAGAGAACCAACATAGAGGTTACATAGGGGTGTCCCAAGCCAATATGGATATCGGTCCGATATCAGCCAAAAAACAATTATCAGATTATATTGGCCTGCATCTAAAATCTCAGATAAATAATCACTCTGATAGAAGCAGTCCATTCCAGTAGTCCACTCTAATATTTCTATCCAGCAGCGCTTGGATCCAGCATGCAGAGCCCACATGATCACAACAACATGCTGCGCTAACAAAGTAGCAAGAAGTAGGAGCGATATTGGCAGTACTTTTTATTTTCATCAGAAACGACGATGCAGCTAAGTGCAAAGTTGTCATGCACAAGTTTTCCGTGGAGGCACAGAACCGTGTACGTTTTAAACCGGAGAGACAACCAGGCTCTGCTCTCCACCCTGGTAGCAGCTAAAGCCCCATCTCCACCCACACGCTTGTATGCCACTCGGCTCAGTTCAGCCTCGGTCAAAAGTGTCTCCATGGTTCCAACCACGCACAGCTGCACTGTTTCAGAACCTCCTCTCCGGTGGTTCTAAGTGGGCAGAAGCGAGTACAGCATGCTTATGATTTTGACAACAGCAGAATGCTGCCAGTGGATTAGCTCTGGGATTGATTGACAGAAGAAAGGAGAGCGCAGCTTTTGTTTTGGAATACGAGCACAACATGACGAGAGCAGTGATGAAAACTGCTCCCTGCAGGAGCCAGAGGCTAAACTCCACATGATGCTCAGACTGTAGAAAGTGGAAATGCAGCAGTAAGAAAGGTAGCTATCAATTTAAATAACTGGTTAATTCTTAGCATTTATTTTCTGCTCTTGTTAAAGTGATGTTTAGTCTATTTACTGGGGGTGCAACAATACATGTACCCGTATCAAACAGTACTTTAGGTTCAACACACTTGTATGGAACAATACAGATTTTTAAAAAATTTACTTTATCAACTTGTGTTCTGAAGATGCTCTGTGTTGAAGGATCAGTGGATCTGTGTTCGACTACTCCACCTAGGCTGRATTTTTGAGCHCAGATCCACTGAGAAACTTGCTGTTTCAGCAARATTTAATTTAAAAACTGTACTTTTGAGGTTAAACAAATGTTCATAATTAATATAAATAAATTACAAGTTAAAAGGGGCATGGACATTTCTCTTTTTTGTGTTGAAAAAATATCGAACCGTGAGATAAAGTATTGAACCGAACCGTGAATTCTCTGTATCGTTGCAGCCCTACTAATTACACACTTGTTTTAGTGAAGATTAAGTTTTGGACACAGTCAGTAAAATTGGAGCTGTGGACTTTTAACTTTGAACAGTTGGACATTGAACAATAATGTGGGGTTTTGTTTTGTCCCCACCTTCAGTTTTTCCCACCATAAAGCGGCTCCAGGCTGACAGATAGTAAAAAAATACCTAGAGTGACTTTGAATTGTTATTTTACACTATACAGGTACAATTTGTTTTTATTATGTTTTAATTTTCATGGTCTTCTAATTTATATTTTATTAAACTGTATAATGTTCTTCAGTTTAAAATGAATGTGATCCATTGGTTACAAATACATGGGTCAGTTTTTCTCATACCTACTCTTGTTCCCTCTTTGACCTGTTCAAGACTTTTCTAAGATTTCACACTACATAAGAGGTAAAAGTGTGTGATTCTTACTGATATGTATCGGGTCAATATCGGTATTGGTCAATATCGTATCGGCCAATTCTCAAAGCTGCAATATCTGTATCTTATCGGAAGTAAAAACGTTGTGTCGGGACACCACTAGTGTTACATGTTGCAGAGGATAGTTCATGATAAAATTATTATATAATGCAATCAAGAGTAAGTACTGGTATTCAAAGTTTCATTTTTGTATGACAAAGTTTGGGTTTAAGTCTGGTTGTTAATGTACTACATTTCTAATATACAGGTTTTACGCTGAATTTTGTGAAATACTCAAATGAATGTTTATTTTCAGATGGAAAATGCATAGTTTTGAGTAGATCTGTTACAAAATTGTCCAGGGGAGTATACCCCTGGACCCCCCTAGAACTGCTTCACTGTAACTGTTTGTAAACATGATAGGGTTAACTTTAATGTACATGTTTTATAAGTGCTTATGATTAATGTTCAACATGAGATCTGCATTTTTCCCTTAGGCAGTCTCATGTCTTTGTAACTAGGGAAGTGAAAACTAAATAAGAGGGTGAACTACAGGAAGTCCTCAGAGCGTTGGGTTGGAGGTAGAGTTGACTTCCTGTCCTGCGTTCTCCTCACTCTTGTCAAAGCTGAGTTTGACTTTCTCTTTCTTCCTTGTTTGTATTTGTAAATGTTCCAGGTAAATTTGTACCTGTCAAAACATGAAGAGGTTTCCTCTTTGTTGTCAGCAGATGTTGGCAGGTATCAGGTAGACTTCTGCTATTGTTTCAAATTAATTATTAACTACTTTATATGTTGTATGTATTGTTTATGTTGTTGCCCATTCCCCGTCATGTTTTTAAGTGTTTTAAGTGTTTTTGCACTCTCAGGCCAACATTGCAAATAATAAAGTGTTTTTAATATGTTTTGCCTGGTGAAATAAAGGTTAAATAAAATAATTAAAAACTATTTTCATTGAACAACTTGAAATGCTGCATTATGTAATAACCACCACGTTATGATTAGAATAAAGAAAAACACTGCTTTGTGATACATAATACGGTTTTAGTGAGTTTTATTACATTTTGAAGCCAGATTTTATTACATTAATACATAATGCAGCATTATTACATAACACTTTACAAACCTGGTTTCTAAAGATAAATATTAAATACAAAACTATCTAATTTGGTGAATTGTAAAGTGGCAATGAAACTGATAAAACCTGAACTCTTGTCTGGGAGTATGAGCAGAGAACATGTAAAAAATGATCAGCTGTAATGAAGAATGAGGCTTACTATCCATTCTCCTCCTCGTAGGGGGGTGGGCTCCCATTGGGCTTGGAGGACATCACTGCTGGATCCACTGGGTGCTGATTTGTAAAGAAATAAACTGCAAGAAAGTTTCAACTGTTAGAGTTTACTTTAAAATAAAGGCCTAAAATTCTCTGAAGGGATGTGTTTTGCTTGCCACCTTAAAGGGATCCATGATTAGTTGTAACATTAGACTTTATTTAATAAACATTTATTTTAACTGTAAAATAACGACTGTAAAAATACTGTAGGATGTTTAGTTTTATAAATTTTTTAAAATATATTTCAACACCGACGGAGCCATTTTATTTCCACACAAAGCATTCTGGGTAAATGATGACGTGGATAGGTCCTCGGTGCGAGGCTGCTAGCGAGCTATATCCACCCT